TATATATATATATATATATATATATATATATATATATATATATGTATTCTCATGCAATATTACAATATATTGCATCATCTGTTACTGCTCAGAGTATGTGTTGTGAATGATGGTCAGCTATTACCACAGCAAATTTTAGTTCAAAACCTGTAGTCTGAAGTAAATTCATTTTTGTGTAGCCTAAGGTTGGCAGCCATTTTAAGTTTGGTTTAACTTTAAAAGTTAAGCAGTTGTAGAAGTACAACCAACTTTACTTTATGAAAGTTTTATTAAAATCCCCTTTAGTGATTGAGGAGTTATTTTGCTAAAAATACAGATGTGCAAACCCTATTTCAAAGTATCTGAACGATCCCTTTAAGGTCCCCAGTTCCTGTGTGATCCTGATGGGGGTATTTCAGTACTGGATACATAAAAGTGATGAATGAACACAGGTGTCAGAGGTGTGGATGATTTATGACAAAAGTCTGTGCATAATTTTATCTACAGTATATAAAACTTCCCGATATAGTACAGGACAAGATATGACGTCAAAATGTCAAATTCAGCTTAAAAGAGAGGGTTTTTTTAACCTCTATGTCAAACTGTCAAAAAACATTTTCCGTCAATCAACTGATGCGACAAATGTCTCTTTTTGCTTGGAGGACAAACCTTAGAAACATCACCTCAATCAGGAGCTGATTTTAAGCCAGAAAACTGAAAGAACAATAAATTGATTTGCACGAGAACTTCAGCAGGGGAAAGACTTTTAATGCACATCTGCTTTTGGACCATGATTCTTGAAAATAAACATGCATTTGCCTAACTGGGGTACCTTTTAATATTCTTAAAGCTAACTTTACACAATCTGATTTTCCTGCTCGTCCCTCCCAATGATCTGTTTTACATTAAGCAGATCATTTGCAGGGTGTTGATTTAAGTATTTAATTGAACCAGGTAAATTTCACCCAGAAGATGAATTGACTTAATAATGAATGACCTTAAAAAAGGAGGCAAATAGCCTGAATGAATAAAAAGAACATATTTTATAATCATCTCAGAACAGATTTGTGTACAAATGTGGAAATTTGGGGGGGGGGGGGTATATTATTTTTAATCTGCATATAATCTTTAGGCGAACACCATGATTGCCTCTTCATTGAGAATCCATCCATCTTCGTCTTCGGAAAATGTTTTGTTTTTTGGCATCCTGGTTTCATCAGGTTTAGATTTGGATGCATTACAAGTAATTAATCCTGTTAGTGTGAAAGATTAAAGATAGCATGCCTGGTTTGCCTGATGTTAGAGGCGAGAAGGGATGTAGAAAACGTCTGTGTTGAAAAATGGATGTTGAGCTGCAGCATAAATGTTTTGGAAATTTCCGATGTCCCTGGGGAGGGAGCTGCTAACAGAAGACAAATGACTTTTGTCAAAAAAGGAACTGAAAAAATAAATTTGGATATAATTAAAGGCCTAAAATACCTTGAGGAGTGTATGTCATCCACATTAGGTTTTAGCTCAAAGGCTTTAAATCTGACTAAGTTATAACCAATTTTCTTACTGTTTAACGTGAAGAAACATGTTTAACATGTGAATGTTTTATTCCACATTCCGTGACATCACCAAATGTTCCAAAATGTCATGAAATAGTGGACCGAAATACAGGAAAACTCAAAAGGAAAACACGGCAATCTTGTTATATACTATTTACAAATAAAATAATCAAATACCACAATTACACAAAACCAAAATATGTATATATTTGATATGTGAATTATTATTTTGTTGTGTCCTTGCCTGATTGGTGGCTGATTCACCTGGTGATATTAAAAATATTTTAACGCTTATCTAAACTGCAGTGCATTTTTTAATGTCTGACCTCATTTACCGGAGTGTCCGGTATCGAATGTGGTTTTGGATTTTGGAATGATATTTCTGTGGAGAGAAGCAAAAAGCATCTTAGTCCTAACTTTGTTGATTAGAACAGAACTACCGAGCATTATATTTTTGGCATCACTCAAAAGATAACAAAAATGTATTTAAACAACAACAACAAAAAGGCGGTTGCACCAGCAAAACCTGCTTAAAAAACATCTCAGGGAGGACAAAAGCTTTAACTAGACATGACATAAATGTCTATTCGTGCTGCTGTTGTTCAGCGTATTGTTTTTGTAGTGCTAGTGCTTAGTGTATTTTTAGTTTAATTCAATTCGAAAATACTTTATTAATCCCAAAGGGAAATTATTTGTTGTTGTAACTTGTTATCTTCATTTCATTAAAAGATGTTATTGATACTGATGGCTGTAGACAGGAAGGATCTCTTGTAAAGGTCCATCCCACAGTGGATCCTAAGAAACTGGCTGCAGATGCCGTCCGATCAGTCCACCCAGACTCGGCTGGCCTCTCGGTTCCTCCGGGCTGTAGGACCGCCCAAATGCCGGGCAGAACTCCTCCCAGAGCGATGGCCACTCCTCCCAGCAGTCTGCCGAGCTCCTCGTCGCTGCAGACAGCCAACTGTAGGTGCCAAGGTATAATCCTGTCCTTCCGCTGTCATGAGACGTGTTTCCTGCTAGTTCCAGGATCTCAGTGGTCAGACACTTGAGCACAGCCGGCAGGTAGATGAGAATGCGTCCACAGAACATCCTTTTCAACTCATTTGAGATTTGGGGCTGTAGCTGAGATATTATTTGAGCTTTTGAGATTTAATCAGCTGTTGGTTGTATAAAACTGCCTTGTTGCCATGGTTACGCATCATAACAATTGTCCAAAACTTAAAAAGTTTCAGTAAAAATCCTTCCAGCTGCACAGCATCCGATACCAGAGGAAACAATCATCCAAAATATGTGATTTACATCCAGAAAAAGAGGAATTAAAGTTTCCAAAAGCAAAATCTCAGAATGAAAGTAACAGAGCTGCTCCAACATGCAGCCACCTTGAGCGGCACAATTCTAGAACTGTAATGTTCTTAGTTCATGTCTTAGATTTTATTACTGTTTTTCTTTACAATTTGTACTTTTGTTGGATGTAACTGGGACCCTGTGTACATGATTTTGTTCCACCACATGTACCACTTGTGGTGGAATGACAAATAAAGAAACTTTGACTTTGATAAAAACTTATAATGTTCGCATGTTCAAAAAGGGACCGATGAGGAAGTCCTGACCTACACAAGACGAGGTTAGTGAACAAGGCCAGGCTCATTCTGGCAGATCCTGATCATCCACTCCATGGTGAGTTCAGGTTGCTTCCATCTGGATGCAGGTATCTGCTGCCCAGATGTAGGATGAACAGACTGAAAAACTCATTTATCTCTGTAGCGATCAGGCTTATCAACGAACAGTGATGGGCTCTGTACTGTTATTTTAATGTCTCAATGTCTTGTCTAGTACGGATGTTTTGTGTGCCTACTGACTGTGAAACAAATTGCCCCTTGGGGATAATAAAGATTCTTGAACTTGAAGTGGTGACACCTGAGCTAAACACAGACAGGGAACAGGTGAGAGTGGGCGGAGCTGGAGAAGAAGAGTAGAACTGATCAAATGAAGGGAACGACTAATGACTACACAAAGACTAAACCAGGGGTGTCCAAGCCTGGTCCTGTATGGCCACTATCCTGTGTGTTTTCAAAGTTTCTCTGCTCCAGCATACTTTACCAATAGGTGACTAGTCTTCTGTAGAACACGAAGAGGTAGTTCAGCCACTGAATCTGGTGTGTTGGAGCAAGATTGGACACCCCTGGTTTAAACAAGTGAAATCACATGGAACAAAATGAACTCAAATAAAATTGCAATAATAAAAAACACTGATCCTGACAGTTTTATTATGATGGTTTGAGAGATGTTTTGCTACAAACAGACATGAGCAAATTCATAATTGTCTGCCTCCATCCTTCAGCAGGGACCAGTAATAAATACTGATACGTGTGTGATTTTGTGTGAGAGGTTACACTGAAGTGGTGGTGGTGGTTTACAAGTGTTTATCACAGAAACCAAGTGTGAGTAATGCTGACAACAGATATTCAGAAGATTCTGGGTCCCTTTAAGTGTGTGGAAGTTGCTGTGAAAAGGTGGCTTTTTATAGCTCAGGCTGTCACTCCTGGTTCGGCACTGACTCGGACTGCTTGTCACTGTGGCTCTGTGTCACGAGCGATAACGTGCACTCAGGTCAGGAAACGAGCCGTAGTGCAGCAGAGGATTTTACTGTCAGCTGGATTCTTTGAACACAATGTGGATGGAAACCTCCTAAAGAGCTGCAGGATGAACACGCTCAGTTTTATGTCTCTGACAGAACGGCATCGGAAAGCTGAAGGAGTGGATACAGTGCAGCTCCAAATATGTGATGTGCTTCTGCTCTCTTTGTGCTCATAATTTGCTCCAGATAAGAGCCCCAGCATAATGCCTGAAATATGAATGCTAATGTAAAATGTATGAGAAACAAATGAGAGAGGGCAACCTAACTTAGGAGGAAGGCAGAAGAGCTGGACTAATCATCTGTCCAGACTGGAAGCGGGCAATTCTGTTAAATCACAGCGTACATATCCAAACATATCAATACTTACACTTGCTCTGAGCTTCCTAAGCCTAGAATTGACCCACATTTGAATTTTTACCCTGAGACTAGCACTAAATTGTTTCATATAATCCAGAATCCAAGGAGAGGCTCTGTACAATCGTTTGGGATGCTGCAAATGAACACAAGAAGCAACGTTGAAGCTTAATCTGCTGGTCCTGCAGCTTTCCTCCTCCCTTTACTGACCTTTTCTTTCTTTTTCTTTCTTTGTCCTTCTGCAGGAGTGAGACTGTGCTGCATCAGTTCTGCTGCCCTGCCCCTGAGCATCCAGAGGCTGATACCTCCAGCTCATCTGAGTAAGATCCCCAGCCAACAACACATACTTTGTCTTCTTTAAAAAAAAAAAATCCTCAATTTTCTGTCCAAATGGGCTATGTTAACCATATCCAGCTCTCTGTCTGTTCATAATCTGCTCCTCTGAGTTGAGTAATCTGAGTCCTGTCAACGCCTGAGCTTTTACTCGTGATGAACTGGACAGTTGATCCGTGGGAAGTGGTGCAATTATTGACCCGTGCAGCCTAATAATGCAGTGAGATAGTTAAATGTATATGTATATATATATAAAACAACTATAGATCACAAGTAAACAATAGTGGTGGAGGTGGGCTGATGTATGAAGGGATATTGTCATTATCAAAGCACCCATGGCAACCCTGAAATGATGCAACACTTATCCTTGCCATAGTAACAGGAGAATCTACAGTAGCCATTTTAGCAGCCTGTATCTGAGTGGGCAGGAGTTTAACATACGACTGTGTGAACTTTTTGAGCTGATATGATCAACATTATCAATATGTGCCCATCTTTCCCCCATATATACCCTCTTCCTTTTCAATCCCTTGTTTGGTCGTCCCCAGCATCATTTAACGCCACATCTTCCTCTGCTGCAAAATCTCAAGTTGTTTATTTTTTCCATTTATTATTAAGCTGCCTGTTCTAAGACTGTGTCTTGTGTACTCATCTCATTGGAATTATTTCCACCTCATCTATTCCCCATCAAATCTCTCTCTTATTAATATCACCATCTGCCTGCATGGAATCCCTCTCTCTCTTCTCTCTGGTCTGACTGTTTGACTCCCGTACGCCCACACATGACCAACGACTTGGACAGGCTAACGGCGCAGCGCCGGTGGACGAACAGCTTAGACGATGAGATGGAGAAGAGATGTGTAACACCAGCTCGGCTCCTTATTTGTCGCCATCATCCTCACGTGAAATTGTTTTGCCGTTGGCTGCAGCTTCAGCACACACAGACATGCACTGAATCCATCAGTGCACTCAAACCTCCCCAGAGATGCCATGAGATCTGCCTCCTGCCTAACCTGACGCACCTTTCCCCACTCGCTTCCGCCTTTAAAGATCCTTCAGATCGTTTGAAGTGGGAAGCTTCTGTGGAAAGGTTATAAACAATTAATATCTTACTTGTTGTAGATAGCTCTTTGAACCACTTTTGTTTGAAGGGAAGGAGTTAAACTCTGACCGGGCAGGGGTCACCAGCCAAATATGTTCAAATGCCAGAATATTTCTTTTTCTTTTCAAGAAAGGAAAACGCTCATACTATTAAGTGAAATAATAATAATAAATAAATAAATAAAAGCCCTCATCTGAACATGGGGCCAGATCTTTTCTGAGCAGATTCGGTGAAGGCCGGCCTTTAATAAAGAATTAAAAATATTTATTGTTATTGTAATTGGTATTATTCACAATAATCATAGAATAATAGGTATTAAATATCTCACAGCTACAGTATCCAGCTTAATATATGAAGTGTAGTGTCTGAAAAAAAGGAATATTTTCCAGTAATCGGTGAACGTTTTTCAGTATTAAGGGTTTATACACATTTATTGTTTATCTGCACATTTTTATGTTAAGTTGTTGATGTGAGCTGTTTAGTTTTATAAACTTTTAAAGGTTAAGCTAAAAGCTGCAACTTTTATTTACATCCATTTTTGTGTGCCACTTTCCTTTGATTTAATCTTGACTAGAATAAATGTCCTTGACTTTACTTTAAATGAACAGTTTTGGTTAGTTTGCCTGAGTCACTGCGGCAGGAATGTTAAAAACTACGAGAAAACCTGAAACAACTAAAATGTTTATAAGTAAAATGTTTAGAAGTATTACAAATGTAAAAAAAAGAGAAGATTTAAAACAAACCTATTAAAAGTTAATGAAAAAGTATTGTGAGTTTGTGTTTGCCCTCATTAATGCACAACTTCATTCACCAGAAACATCAATATATTATTAAAATACAGAATAACATTTTTATCTCCACCAAATTCACAGAAGTGGGACAGAAACAGCCTTGAGAGTGAGGCGGGCTGAGGTTCTGTATTATCATTTATCACAAATAAGCTGTCAGTCTGATAAAGCCTCAGGACTCAGTTTACCCCTCACATAAATTAAAACATTGATTAAATTAGACTTTTTTTATTGTCTTCAATGTTTTGGGTTGCTTTAAACCAAAAAAATACAGACAAAATATATTAAAGATGCTGAAATCTCCATTGCACACACAGGCTGGATGGCGTGTCACCATTTGATGACCCCTGAGCCAAAGGCAAGTCCAACGTGGACTGCTGCTGTCTCGTGAATTTATATTTAATCTCAGAAATGTCCCAGTGGTTAATGCAAGAGCTGCTTCATAAACCTTTACCTGTTGTAAGAGGTGTGTTTTCAGGTGTTTCTGTTTGTTCCTGCCGGGCTGTTTTAGTTATCAGCCATGTTTTTTTGTTACTAGTCTGGTTTGGCATATTTAGATTTGATTTTTCATGTTCTCGGACAAGGCTGCACGGTGGATCAGTTGGTAGAGCTGTTGACGCTCAGCGAGAAGGTCGTAGGATTGAATCCCAGCTGGGTGGCCTTTCTGGGCGGAGCTTGCATGTTCTCTCCGTGCATGTGTGGGTTTTCTCAGACACTCCTGTTTCCTCCCACAGATCAATAACATGCATGTTAGGCTGACTGGTAACTCTACATTACCCATAGGTGTGAGTAAGCGAGTGAATGGTTGTTTGTCTCATTTGTCTCTATGTGTCCCTGTGATGGACCGGAGACCTGTCCAGTGTGTCCCCCGCCTCTCGCACAGTGCCTGTTGGATATGGGAACCAGTGACCTCCATGACCCGAAAAGGAAGAAGCGGGTAAAGATCATGGATGAATGTACTCAGCCATTATTTTCCCTCTGCCTTGCCTTGACATGCACACCTGCCAGCCATCCGTAATCCTCTCACCTGTTCTCACCTGGCTGCCAGTCACCCATCCCAGTAGATATGAGCTCCTTGGTTTTACTCAGTTTCTGTCAGATCCTTGTATGTAAGTCCCTGCAGCTCATAGCCTGTTGTGATCCTAGCATTTTCTTATGTTCAAAGGTTTGGATTTTTTTATTTGATAAATCAGTTTTTGGAATATACCTGCCCCATGGGTTTTCACCAACCTCAAAGCCGTCATAACTATTCCAGTCAGGTTTCCATTACATGGCTATTCTGGCTGAAATATTACAATATTCATGCTGGAAGTGCCCCAGGCTGCACAGGAAGTGCTACAATCAGCTATTTACACTTGCAATACAACGCATTTCAAGTCTGCAAAATAAAGTTTGCATAAACAGCTCTGATATTTTTGAGACTGGAGTTATTTTACCATCGTCTACCTGCTGCACAGAGCTCACACACACACCTGGACAGGGCAGGCAGCACTGTAAGAGTCATGCTCTTTGACTTTTCCAGTGCTTTAAACACCATGATACCTGCGCTACTCTGTAGTAGTAAGCTCCTGGACATGCAGGTGAATGACTCACTGGTCACCTGGATCAGAGACTACCTCACAGGTCGGCCACAGTATGTGAGGCTGCAGAACACCACCTCGGATACCATACTGAGCAACACGGGGGCTCCTCAGGGGACGGTCCTCTCACCTTTTCTGTTCACACTCTACACCTCGGGCTTCAGGTACAACTCACAATCCTGCATCTGCAGAAGTTCTGAATGACTGCCATTATGTGCTGCATCACTGGTGACCAGGAAGTTGAATACAAAGGTGTGGTGGACAGAACCACCTGCAACTCAATGTTGAAAAACTAAAGAGCTGCAGGTGGACTACAGGAAGATCAGTCCCCCCAACCCCATCAACATCAAGAGTACTAAGGTGGACACTGTGGACTGCTACAAGTACCTGGAGGTCCATCTAGACAATAAACTGGACTGGGCAGCTAACACCAACACCCTCTACAAGAAAGGGCAGAGTCGCCTTTTTCTTCTGAGGAGACTCAGGTCCTTTAACATCTGCAGGACCATGCTGCAGATGTTTTACCACTCGGTGGTCTCCAGCATCTTCTACGCTGTGGTGCTGGGGCAGCAGGGTGAAGCAAACTGATGCCAGCAGACTCGATAAACTCATCAAGAGATCTGGTTCAGTTCTGGGAGTGGACCTGCAGTCTCTGACAGGTGTCTGAGCAGAGGATGCTGAGGAAACTGCTCCAGATCCTGAACAACACCTCACACCCCCTGCATGACACACTGGACTCTTCCTGCAGCACCTTCAGTCGTAGACTGAGACCACCGAGGTGCTCCACAGAACAACACAGGAAGTCCTTCAAACTTTTCAACTCCTCCCCCTTTCTGTACAGAGGACAATAAAATGAATCATGTTCTACAATAAACACTTCAACGTTTCTGTCTGCACCTGTTTAGATCTCAATTGTTGGTATTTTTATGATCTCTGTTATTTTTTATATCTTGTGTACGTTCTTGTGTACGTTCCTTTGTATTGAAACTCTGGCACAACAATTTCCTGTGGGATCAATAAAGTTCTATCTTATCTTATCTTATCTTATCTTATCTTATCTTATCTTAAGATGGCAGCAATTTACTTTGATTTCAACTGTGCTTGGACTGAAATTAAACTCCAAACTGGGGTTGTTCAAAGAGCTATCTACATCAGATAAGGTATCAAATTTTCATAACTTTTCAAAGAACTTTATTTCAAAAGATCTAAAGTGCTGCTTCAGGTGTGTAGGCGTGCGTCCTCCCCTGGGTGTACAGTACTACGAGTCTCTAAGGGACTATGAGTGATGTGTTTCGACAGACGCGCCGTGACAACACGCATGCAGACATGTTTAATCTGTTGAGCTGCTGCTGCGTATGATTTGTGAGTATATACGTGAGGAAAACGCAAAAACAAGTGTGATAATGCTCACGTCATTACGAAGACTTTGGCTGGCCAGTTGCATTTAAAATCCTCTAATGTATTCTAATGTACTCTAATGTATTCTGATGCAGCACCGGGGCATGGCAGTGTTTTAATAGAGTTTTTGATAGAGACAGCCTCCAGCATGCTCACATCAACACACACACAAACACACACACTGTAGCTGCCATCCTGTTTCCTCTCTCTGTTCTAGCTCAGTCTGTCCTCTCTCTTTCTGCCTGTTTTCACCAACTTTATCTCATCTGCAGAAACAACAAAGCCTCTCTGGCCCCCCATCTCTGACTTCTGGCGAGGGACACAGTGTACTTGATTTTACAGCGACAGGAAGAAAGAAAAAAAAGGAAAAGAAACAGAAGAACTTAAGTGATGTGCTCATTATTTAAGCATGAGCTGGCATTTTATTCTCCCCAGTCATTTTTAGCTCTGGTTCCGTTCACGTAAAAATGATTAGAGTAGCAGTATCCAGATAGTGGAAAGCTTGCACTCATAACTGCACACAATTCAAAAGCCTCCAGGGTGTGATCATATATCTGTCTACTTTGGTCCAGTTTGACTGTCTCTATATGATGCAGAGTCTTCTGCAGGCTTGTAAAGACAAAGTAAGGCTTTATGTGTAAGAACATTTGGATTACTGGAAGACGGATGAGTATAAGGACCTTCGTTGCCAGTAAATTACTTAAGCCCTACATGGCTTTCACAGAATTTTGATAATGCTGCCATGTAAAGGAACATGGTACCATCTGTGTCTGGGATTAGAGAAGGAGGATGGGACTCTGAGCTGCTCGATTCAGCCTCTACGTTTTACACTGTTTGACTCCGATTTGAGCTGGATTTAAATATAGCTTCCTGCGTCTGCTGCTATTAGATGACCGAGAGGAGTGTTTATCGAATAAATGCAGAGCGTACAAGTGGGCTTCCCCCACGTTTTTTTCTTCTGATCATCACGGTTAACTTTATGGTCATGGCATTTTTGGTTTTTAAGAGTTTCTGAATTCTCCACAAAAAAATGCAAAAGACATCTAAAATTATTATTATTTTTTAACAATGCGCCACAATTTGTTCTACTTATCATAAAAATTGCTGCAGAAATGCTCATCCTAATGATGTCATTGCCATGGAAACACATTTAGCTTTCGGAGTCTCATATATAGACTCAGCATTGATCTTCACAGCACAACTTGGGTGGAACGATGCTGGTGTGGCAACAAGTCTTTTGTCTTCAGAGCTGCCTCAAAAATAACTTCCTGTTCGCACTTTGATGCAGCACACATCCACGTACGAGTTATTATTCCATGCTCCTCATTTCATGTAGCGGGACCCGATGGGTTGGAATAGACTGGCACTTGATGTGCTCTTGTGGTGTGAAGCAGGCAGTGCATGACAGGGGATCTATTAGGCCTCCAAACATTGCATAAAAGATGCATGAGTTTCAATCCTTTTATTGCAGCATATGTATTTTAGTTTGCCGGAATGGCTTTCCTCATTTAATGCTCTGTGATTAATTTGAGCTGGCTTTCATTTTTCACATCACAACACACACGATTTATTGTTGCCGCTGAAACTTTGTGCACAACTAAATTGATAAAGGTGAGACAGCTGAGTGGAATTTTATTTAAGAGGTTAATTGTAATCAGAGTGTAGACGGTGCATCAAAAACTACTGCCTACAAACTTGGCAGTGGTTTTTCAATAAGACTAGAGTTATACTGCGGTTATGTGGAATAAAGCAAAAACCCGAACATTTTAATATTTAAAAATGACAGTCTTACTGCAGAGAAACAATCTGACTCAGTTGTTCAAAATTAAATTCCAGGGAAACTGTGACAGGACAGATTTATGACCGTTTGAATGAGCAACAGGAAAATAATCATCTGTGATAATACTGACAGGTAAAAATGCTTTTTTTTACTCAGATTTGTGTTTATCATGTTTTATGTCCTGAGAAGTGAAAAAAAAGTGCCTACATCTTTAATCCTTGCTTCAAAGACCCCATGGCGTGTGTGTTTTGTACATTTTGCTTTTAACCACAAGAGGGTGACGTGCACCACTACCCCAGCATGACGCCAAACAGACTTGTCTAAACTATTTTAGGTTAACCACCTCTCGCTTTCCCTAAATGCAGGCTGTTCATATTTTTGTTGCAGCCTAGAGACAAAAAGTCGTCAGATTGCTGAAAAAAATTCTACTTTTGAGGCAACAAAACTGAAATTTTTGTGGTAATTTATGTTTTACTGATTTAATAAATAAAAACCCAAGCATTAACACTGATTCTACAGTTTATTTGATATTTAAAAATATAGTTTTGTGTAATATTTTCTTGTTGCTATGGTAATGATTGTCACAAAATAAAACTATTGTCTTTTCTAGGCCTTCTTTCTATGTGTGTGTGCATATGTGGGTTAACTAATATACAAAAACGTGTACCGTATTTTCCACCGTACACGTCACGCCACCCTATAAGTCACATCAGTCCAAACATGTCTAATAAAGTGGAAAAATCCATTAATTTGTCACTTTGCTGTATACGTCACATCTGTTATGCGTCACCACTGACATCCCGGAAATATAAGCTGGTGTGGTGCCATAAATCGATGGGCTGCCAAATGGCGGCCACGGGAGCATGCATGGGAGGACTTAAACAAGAATTTAACAAAATTAATGCTTAAAAACAATTATTTGTTTGCTTGAAATTATAGTAAAGGTGTGTTGCAGTTGAACTTTTGCTTAATAAATGCACTTTGATGGTCAAATCAGCTGCATTTCACTTGGGTGATGCAGTGAAATGAAGCTGATTCATTTGTTCCAGGCAGATAACGGTGGCATTTTAAGGCAAGCCGATTGTGTCATTAATAACCACTTTTACCTATTACATGATACAACAGCATGCCATACAACTCTGGTGCCATCTAGTGACTGAAAATGGTAGTGTCCAATTTTTTTCAGTCAGAATGAATGAAAACAGTCATATCACAACCAAAAATTAGTTTATAAATATGTGAAAAATCCATAAATACCTTGCTTTGGCCTATAAGTTGTAGGGTAATGCAAATTATGCAAAAAACTGCGACGTGTACAGCGAAAAATATGGTATTTATCTGGAAAACCTGAACCTCTTTTGTGCTGCTGACAACAGCAGATCAGACAAAAATAGTATAAACTCACATATTTTGGAAAAAAAAAGAAAGGTTCTTCTTAAAACCTAAATAAGAAATGAATTTCTGATCATATTGTTGATCATCAAAAATGAAATCTTTTTCCTCTCAGGATTTCCATTCGTTTTTACAATCTCTTGTTTGACAGCTTGAGCCGTGGGAAATTTTTAAACTACAGTTGAATCTTTTTCTTCTTACCAAGAGTGGAGATATTGCTGCTTGCATTGCAAATGCAAAATAAAACGAGTCTTGTGCAGGATATAGTCAGAGAGAGAAGAAGAGGAGGAGGATTCTGGACTGTGTGTGATGTACTCTTAACTTTTTAGTATTCAAACTGTGTCTACATCCAGTAATTCACTCCTGCAGTGGAGCCACAGCTCTGACCAAATACGTGTGGACACAAAAAGTCAGTCATCTGCCCCTCGGGTCATCACAGCCACACATCACAGTCTGCGTTCTGCCTCCTTTATAGAAACCTCTTCACAATCTGCAGAGCTGATGGCCCGCTTCTGTGATAACAGCTGACTTTTGGGTCGGTACAGAGAGGCCAGACTGATATGTCTCTCTTTTACTGTTTTTTTTTTCCTCTTAAAGCGGACAGCTGCTGAGCCTGGAGGACGGGACGTCCTCTGGCAGAGGACAGGAACCAGAGAGGATCAAGAGGGAGGGGCCCAGCGAGTACGAGATAAGCCTGGAGAATAAAAACAAACAGGTTTTTCACTTTGTTTTCTTGCCATAAACACACGGTGAGGTGCAGTAAAAATGCTGTCAGTTCCACCTGGTTTAGTATAAAAGGAGTTGGTGAAGGGGATTTTAAGGAGGGGGGTGGGTGGGGGTATCACTTGACATTGCCTTGCTTGACAAAAAGAAAACCCCTATTCAGGTCTATTTCTGTCTCTGTTGACATGACATGAAAAAAACAACAACCCAGAGATACCAACAGCCACGGCGACAGGAAGAGAGGAGATGCTAGGTTGTCATGGTAACAGTTAATAACTGCTTGTGGCTGGATATGTCTTTATTCCTCATAGCAAACAACTGAAGGGTCTGCTGCTGCTGCTGCAGAGCTGGTGTGTTTACATCCGCTGCTGGTGTGAGCAGCTCCACACCAGGCACTGAGTGGCTGTCCTCTTTATCCCTCTCTTCACCAACAGACCAACCACCTCTCCTCTCCTTCTTCTGCCTCCCACTCCTCCTCTTTTTGCTTCTTCTTGCCGAGAACATCAGAAGGTAAAAATCCGAAGGATGGGGAGATTTTTGGTGCCCTGCCAACAGGAAGAGCAAAGACAGGCTCGTCAGGGTGTTTACTCTTCTGTCCGTTCTCTCCATAGCACCTCTGTCACGGCACATCCATCCTCTTTCACACGGCCCTTCAGCTTGTATTAGCATCTGAATGATGATAGACGATGTTTTCATTGGCTCTGATACTATAAACCCTCGCCACCTCAGGAAGAGCTAACAGATAATTACAAGGGATGCCTCTAAAATGCGTGTGAGTGTGAATTCCAGGCCTCCTCCACACTCTCTTGATCTTTCTGCAGACATGTTTGGGTGCTGATGAATGATTAAACATCTTTGGGTGGATTTATCACCCGTGCAGAGCCTCGTTAACGTGTTTGATGTGCTCAGTCAAGCTCACCATCCTCCTTGTCTCCCCTTTCAGATAGAAGAGTTGGAGCTGAAGTATGGAGGCCATCTCATTGCGAGGCGGGCAGCCCGTCGTATTCAGACGGCCTTCCGCCAGTACCAGCTCAGCAAGAACTTCCAGAAGATCCGCAACTCGCTGTCGGAGAGTAAGCTGCCTCGTCGGATCTCCCTGCGCCAACCCAGCCCGTCAGGCCGAAACCGGAACGCGGCCCAGAGACACAGTTACTCTCTGCATCCCGGAGGAGGTCAAATACCTTTACGATCGAAAACGCCACCTCCTCCTCCGTGTCGCTCCACATCTCTGCCCCCATCTCCTGCGTCAGCCCCGAGCAACGCATCATCTTCCACCTCAAACCAGGCTCCACCTCAAACCCCTGGATCCACCCTCACACAGCTGGAGGACTGCTTCTCTGAACAAGTCAGTGTTTTTTTTATTTTATTTTATTTGTGATGTAGAGACGTAAAAGATGCCTGAACAGCACACATCATCAATATTGATAATTAACATGCATTTCTTGACTGATTGTATAAGATTTGTTTTCCTTGATATTGGTAGCTACATTTTATTAAAAATAGATTAGAGATACTGGAAGAGTTTTTCTGAAACGGTTCTTTTTGTGATTTCTTGGGCAAAATTTTGAAAACAGAGCTCTTTCCCCCTTCAAAACACGACATAATGACCACAAACGTGTTCGGTTATCAGAAAACACATTTCTTTAGCAAAACAAAACCATTTTGCAACACCCCTCCCAGAAAAAAATTAAAATAAAATAAAAAACACAAATTTATGAAAACTACATTTTGTTGCCACATGAAACATACATTGATTGTAACACTTGTTTTCATCGTTTACACACTCCTGTAAGGGAAATATCCAGAAAAATCCTCAGAGCAGCGTTGCATGAGACAAATGCTGCCGGACCTGGCTGTAAGATGTCCTGCACATCACGTTATACTCGCATTTTGGGAAATAAAATCTCATTGTGTGCCTGATCCGCCCCTGCACAGATGCTGAATCAATGTAGTTTTTATACCTGATTGGTGTGTTTTCATCCACACACACAGTTGTGGTCATTTGAAAGACAGTGCTTTGGAATCAGTAGCTTGGAGAGAGACATGAAATCTTTCTGTGTTTAGTCTTTTGCAAAATGTGTGAAGGTTAGTGTATTTATGCAAATTCAAACTGGTGTTTTTTGCTTTTTGAGAGGATTTTACCAGCTGTGCAATTATTTTTCTTTTTGTGTGTAAATAAGAGTGAAAAAACAACTGTAAATGTAAATAGGCACAGAGATTGGCAATTATTTGAATCTTATATTTACCTGGAAGTTGGACAGAGAATATTTTCTAATCCTATTCAGAATATTGTATTTGCAAATTAAAACTGTGCTACCATCAAACTGAAAACAAACTTAAAAAAAAAAAAAAGCAACTTCTCAGATTTCCTGTTCCAGATGTTGCCTCATTAGGAATTTCAGTTAAGTAAGGGGTTTATTTGGCACACTTTAGAAAAATATAAATCATAGATTTAATATTTACCCAAATAACTGTTCCCAAACAAAGACATGTTAGCATGCTGTTATCTTCATGAGAAAACAGCAATTGGCTCCAAAAACTTGGTCCAAACCTTTGTTGGAGCTGCTGAGTCCAGCTGCAGTCACTGTTACAGATGCTACTTCTAATTAACCTCAAGCTGTGATTAACATTCACACACGTGACTCGTGCCCTTTGACCAAAGATGATTGCTAATTTAATTAGTTTTCGTTTTGATCATATCTGCAGCTTCACTCCTTGGCCCAGTCCATCGACGACGCCCTTCGTGGTTGGAGCATGTCGGAGAGCGGAGAAGGCAAAGGACTGTTGATGGACCCCGGGGCCTTCCGTGCAGCTGCAGAGAGCGCTGGTTTGCCCCGCAGTGCCAGCTCACTGCTCATGGCCTTCAGGGATGTAACGGTTCACATCGACAGCAATAGTTCCTACACCATCTCCTCCACCACCACCACAACCACCACCTCCCTGGGGAACGCAGGAGGAGGACCAGGCAGCAGGAAGACCTCTATGAGTGGGACGGGCGGAGTAGGAGATGGCCTGTTGGCGGATGAGCCGGAGTTCCCTGCTCCCCCTCCTATTGAGGAGCTGGAAATGGTGGACCCAGGATCCCGGAGGTGCTCGACAGTGCCAGCTGCAGGATGGGTTGGATCGGAGGGCGAGGGCAGCTCAGACAGGCTGGGATCCACCTCCACTTCTACCTCTACTTCCACTTCAGTTTCCACCTCAGCCCAGTCTAACCAGCAGCCTGCCCAGATTTACACTCAATACCAGCAGTACCACTACACTCATCCTCAGCAGATCCCCCCAGGTCAGACTCCTGAGGCCCTGCAGGCTCTGGTGGTCTCTTTGCCACGGGATCGTTGCCAGGATCCAATTTCCTGCCGCTCACCAACCCTGTCCACTGACACTCACCGCAAACGCCTCTACCGCATCGGACTCAACCTCTTCAACGTGTGAGTGAGAATAATGCGCTGTGGCAGAAACCATCATCTGGTACCGAGTCTGAAGAACTCGTGTTTGGATTGATCAGATCTTCTAAAACCTACAGCAGCTCATTGTGTGTTCATTGATTCAGCGTTCACACCATTGTTTCCCTGTTTTTTATTTCCATACTCTTTTATTGCAATCTGGCTAATTCTGCAAACTTGGTCCTATTTTAGTAATTTATATAAAAAACATCCAACTCATTCAGGAGATAGTTGCTAGTTTTTGTAACTTTTATACATTTTACAATATTTAACTTTATTTACAAATAATTCCTCCACAGAAATACATTGAGACCTCTTCAATTCCCGGAAAAACATTTTGAAATCTGCTTTACGATACTTGCTCCGTTTTTATTTTCTTTAGCTTTAGGCTAGCCTTTTGCTACATTTAACTATTTTAGCTTTATGTTACTGTAAGATTCTACCTAGACTGTTGCTGCCTTTTTTTTGCTAAACTTTTTCTACTTTAGTTTTATATAAATGTAGTTACTTTTAGCTAGTCTTTTAGTTTTTCACTACTCTGCTACTTTCAACAAGACTTCTACTACTTTGGTTTTTGGATACCCTTTTGCTACTTTTAACTAACCTTTTGCTAACAAGTTTTTGCTACTTAATTGCTACTTATAGCTACCGTATTTTTTGGACTATAAGGCGCACTTAAAAATCCTTTTAGTTCCTCAAAAATTGACAGTGATCCTTAAAATCAGGTGCACCTTATGTATTAATTCTGGTTGTACTTACCGACCTCGAACCGATTTTATGTGGTTATTGTGAATGAGTTGAATAAAGTTGGACTTATCTGACTGTTTTGTTTCGCTTAATGCACCTTATAGTCTGGTGTGCTGTATGCATGAATGCAGACCCGTTCATTGATATTGCACCTTATAATCCTGTGCGCCTTATAGTCCGAAAAATACGATACTAAATACGATACTTTTAGCAAGACTTTTACTACTTTAGTTTTTGGATACCCTTTGGCTGCTTTTAGCAAAACTTTTTACACGTTTAGATTTAAGATAGGATTTGGCTATTTTTAGTTTTTGGTACCCTTTTACTATTTTTAGCTAGTGTTTTGCTGTTCTTATCATTTAGCTATCCCTTAGTAACTAGGTTATTTTTCATCATTTAGGTTTTAACTAGCCTTGAGCTACTTTTAGAAACTAAGCATTTTTTTTTTTTTGCTCTGTTCAACTTCTATCCAGTCACTTGCTACTTTTGACTTTTAGCTTATTTATTTATTTATTTATTTATTTATTTATTTATTTATTTATTTATGTATTTATTTATTTATTCTGTTTCAGTTTATTCCATGAAGTCATGCAGCACTCAGCATTCTCCCTGCGTGTTCACAGAAAATGTCATTTCTCCACTTAGTGTTTGAGATTGTTGGGAGGAGCTGCCAATTTAGTGCCAATTTAAAAGGGTGTGATGTCCGTGAAATAAGAAGTGAAGAGAGAGCAAAATGTAGCAGAACAGCAAGAAAGGCATGAAGAACGTAAGTGATTCTATAAACAGAGCCTACGGTTGGCCTCCGCTTAATATTAGTTCAAACAAATTAAAGTAAATTAACTCAGTGACAGCTGAGCTGATCTCAAAGTCCTGAGCTCACAGCTTTTCTGCTTGAATGCTCTCTTCTTTTCCCTGTTCGCCCTTCCTCTTCCTCACACATTCCCTCCCACACATGACAACACTCACACATTATGCATCTTTTTATCTAAACACACACCAACACACATGTGCTTGAGTGCATGAAGATCCTACGCACACTGCTAACACTTAGCTTCTTTTCCGTTGGTCACAGGAACCCAGAGCGAGGCATCCACTTCTTGATCACGCGTGGCTTCGTCCCAGACACGGCCATCGGGGTGGCCCACTTCCTGCTGCAGAGGAAGGGCCTGAGCCGACAGATGATCGGAGAGTTTTTGGGGAACAGCAAGCTGCAGTTCAACAGAGACGTCCTGGAGTGAGTGCATGTTATTTAGCAATGTTTTTTTATTCACACACAAACATGCATTCTCATGAGCTTATGTCTGAAATTTGAATGCATTTTGTTAAGACAAAATATCCATCCATCCATTTTCTTTACCCGCTTATTCCATTTTTGGTCACAGGGGTCGCTGGTGCCCATGTCCAGCAATCACTGCGAGGGGCGGGGTACACCCTGGACAGGTTGCAAGTCCATCACAGGGACACATAGAGACAAACGAGACAAACAACCATTCACTCTCTCACTCACACCTAGGGACAATTTAGAGTTACCAATCAGCCTAACATGCATGTTTTTGGTCTGTGGGAGGAAACCGGAGTACCCGGAGAAAACCCACGCATGCACGGAGAGAACATGCAAACTCCACCCAGAAAGGCCCCTGGACCGGGGTTTGAACCAAGGACCTGCTCGCTGAGAGGCAGCAGCTCTACTAGTTGTGCCACCGTGCTGCCCAAGACAAAATATAGATTTGATTTAAAAAGTATACAGTTTAAGTCAATCCATGTAGTGCTTGTGAGTTGGCTTTTACAGATTGAGTAGTGTCCATGGCAAAACACTGAATTAAAGGTGTAGCGGGAAGGGTTAATAATGATTAAAATTCATTACGAATTTTATTTTGAAGGGGCACCACTCTCAGCTTTGAGAAAAAATCTGAAAGTCTGAAAGTCAATTCAGATGTTATTGTTAAATTACCACGAATTACCCTTTTTACACCGTGAGTTCTTTTATATCAAGGATTCAGATGTCATAAATAAAACACACAAGCTTTAGTACAATTTTGTGACATTTATTTGACTATATATGAGAAAATAACTGTTGGAAATTGTTGCTTACATTTAAAATGACGGCTTGACTTAACATCCCGAGTGTATGGAAATTAATGTGACCTTCAACAATGCTTGTTAGCAGGAATCAACAGATAAAATGAATTTATTCTATGTTATTACCCAAACCAAAAACAAGATGAAATGTGGAACTTTGGAGTTTTCAGCAGGACAGCTTAATTATGCAAATTTAACTAAAAGAAAGACGCTTTATCGTCCAATATTTGAAATTTGGTCCGAAATTTAAGGATAAATCATTACTGAACTGAGTTCATACTAAACTGGTTAAAATCTAAATTCTTGGACACCAGAGTCAACCTCAGAGCTGTTCCTAACAGGAGTCGTCTTCGAACAGCTGCCTGCAGATATCAGATGACGTAGACTTTCTGCTGAGAGGATTTTGAGTGACGTCAAAGGTCCCTGGACATCCAGGTGAGGAGTCCGGTCCCAGCTGGCTCTAATGGCCAACCGAGGCATCTCCTGGAGTTCTGGACAGCTGTTATTAGCTCTGGTAATGAAAACTGCGGGTGTCTGGAGCGCTGAAGTTGGTCTCTCTCTGGAGCGCTGAAGAGCGTTCTATCAACTTTGCTAAAGTTGAAACTTTAATTTTTCTTCTTGCAAGTTTTTGTATTATAAGTAGGTTGTTTTGTCCTAGAAGCTTACTTCTGCTCTTCTTCTGAAGTTCTTCATCATTCTTCTCTCCTGTCTTCTCTCTCATTCAACTTCAAAATTCCTCTCAGGGTCTCCCTCTATTGCAAATTTCCAACCACACCTCTAACCTGAAAGGGGGGGGGGGGTGTCGATTTGAACAAATCAGAATGGAAGGGCTGAACGTTATCAACTAAATAAAGTATTATTTTAATCTGCTCTGAACGAACAAAACAAACAAACAAACAAGTAGAAACGTTTCATCTTTCATCCGAAGGACTTCTTCAGTCTGAGGTGTTGTATTCAGCTCAGTCTTACAGCACCTCAAACTGAAGAAGTCTTTCGGATGAAAGATGAAACGTTTCTACTTGTTTGTTTGTTTTGTTTTTGAATGTCCAGAGGACCAGACATAACTTTTTTTTAATTTTTCTACCTGGATTATTGAGCATGCATCAGGATAAGGCAAGTTATTAGTTATTCCCAGTAAACAATTATTTCATTACAGACAAACATTATTCTCCAGAATGTGAATAAAAAGTCTGTCATTTTTCTGCATGCAGAAAAGACGGCGGTGGATCTCACACTACACAGAAATCCTTTGAACAGGGACAAGCTCTTTCCTTATCATCCTGTGATTTATGACCGCTGAAGAGTAGTCTGGTTGGTACAAGGTGACACCAGAATATCCTGGGTGATCTGTGTTAACTCAAATGTCCAATTTTGGGTCCACGGAAAGGGCTTTCAGATATTAGTTAGATTTATTGGATCTTTGGTTGTCTTTGGGGCAGCACGATGGCACAACTGGTAGAGCTGCTGCCTCTCAGCGAGCAGGTCCCAGGTTCAAATCCCGGTCCAGGGGCCTTTCTGGGTGGAGTTTGAGTGTTCTCTCCGTGCATGCGTGGGTTTTCTCCAGGTACTCCGGTTTCCTCCCACAGACCAAAAGCATGCATGTTAGGCTGATTGGTAACTCTAAATTGTCCCTAGGTGTGAGTGAGAGAGTGAATGGTTGTTTGTCTTGTTTGTCTCTATGTGTCCCTGTGATGGACTGGAAACCTGTCCAGGGTGTACCCCCCCCC